ATGTCTTGTAATGAAAGTATTACAATATTAACTATGCTTTAAATAATTATTTTTTGTTTAATTGGACTTATGCACATGATCACTTGAATTACATCTACTCATAAAATAATATCTACTTGATAAGATACTATTTTCACAGTAAATTTTTTAATTCTCTACGTTCGTAAACTCAAAAATATAATAAAAAATTACATCATCATTGTAGTCTAATTTCTTCATAACAATTATATTATAAAATTAGAATATTAAATAAATATTTTCAAGTAAAACAAATTTATCTTTATTTTCTATCACTAATTTTTTTATAATATATATATTTTTTTCATATACTCTCTTAAATCAAAGAGCAATACTTTTTTTATAGAAGTAATTACTCTAGAAAAGAAAAAAAGTCAATTAAAAAGTTAAAAATAAATCAATCAAAAATTAACTAGCATATAACAGTTTATAAAAGAATATAATTAAAATTTGTTAAAATAATAAAAATTTAATTAAAAAAATACAAAGATTAAATACATTTTTATTAATTAGTATCACATCAGTATTAATTAATTCTCTTTTTAAATATATTTAAACTGACTTACCATTGTACTATTTGCACTTTTATATTTCAATAATTTATCGTATAACCATCAAGGAAAATTTATTAATCTTCATTGAAAGATGTCTTTTCTCCAAAAAGTATTAAAAAAATAAAAATAAAAATATTTTTTTAAAAATATCAATGTAAAAAGTTATATTTACATACTTGAATATAATTAATAGTTATATGTGATAAATATAAATTAAATTTATATATAAATATGATATTTACAAAAATATATCATGAACATTATACAAATATAATTATAAATAATATGGATATAAAAATATAGATTGATTTAGATATTTTAATTAATTTTAATTATAAAAAAATATATCATGACTATTATACAATTAATTAAACTTTAATAATATTAATTTTTTATTATTTATATTTTATTTATTACTAATAAGTTTAAAATACCATAAAAAATATATAAATATATTTATCACATGAGATTTTATTATTTTTCAATAATCATTTTTAAAATTTATTCATAGATATTTTGTTTACAACTTTAAAATATGAATATATATGATTTGTTAACTGCATAATTTTTATATATTTTGAATTTATACTATTGTTGGTTGGATTAGTTAACAAAATATTGAAAAAAAGAATTGGTAGAGAAAATTAAAGTAAAGAAACAAAAAAAAAACGAAAAAAAATTATAATATCAAATGTAAGACTCTTTTAGCATGTGCTCCAAGAAGTAATAAGTCTGAAAAAGATAGGACTTAATCTTTGAAACCACAATCTAAAATAGCTCTTAACTTAGCTAAAAAATTTGATGACATATACTCTTTTCTCATTCACTTTTTTGTATCCCAAATAACATTAGCATATTTGTAAAAAAGTGAAACAATTTCTACCACAACGTTTATGTGACAGAAAAAATGTTTAATATTTAGATTTTAAACTATTTTTTACACCTAACAAGCATGACTACAAGTGTAGATATTGTCAGAAATATAATTAACCAATGAGTTCCTTTAAGTCAATTTCCATCCTTATTTTTAGTAAGAGCATCAAAATCAGTTCTTACTAAGCTCCGCAGCACTCTTATCAATATTAAGATGAATTAAAATTTCAACCTAAATATATCAGAGAATTTTGGTCAAGGCTGGGATGACCGGAGCCAAAAGCATGCCAACTTCTATGGTTTCATCACAGAAGCTGTCAACATTTGGTGGAACTGCCTTCTCTGATCCATCTCTGTACAGATCAGTGGTAGGAGGGCTCCAATATGCCACAATCACTAGGCCAGATGTAGCCTATGCTGTCAACAAAGTGTCACAATTTATGGAATCACCATTGGATTAACATTGGAGGGCTGTCAAGAGAATACTGAAGGACCTGGCTGGTTTCATTAACATAGATTTCACAAAATGATAGAGCTGAGAATCATTGCATAGTGTGACTCAGTCTGCAGTTCAGACATTCATGACAGGAAGTCAACAACTGGCTTGTGTGTATACCTTGGTCCCAATTTAGTGTCCTGAGGTAGCAGAAAACAGCAAGCTGTCTCAAGAAGCAGTACTGAAGCCGAATTAGAAGCATGGCAGCATCCTTAACTGAGATCCTGTGGCTACAGAACCTGCTGACTGAACTCCAACTCACTTGCACCTGTCCTCCTCCGATTTTTCTGTGTTAATCCAGGAGTAGTCCAACTTTCAGCCAACCCTGTGTTCCATAAAAGATCAAAACACTTTGAACTTGATTTTCATTTTGTAAGAGACAAGTTCTTGCAGAACAAAATCCATGTCTAACACATTCCAGCATCTGATCAAGTGGCAGACCTCCTCACAAAACCAGTATCTTCTGCTGCTGCCTTTGAGAAGTTCAGAACTCAGAAGCAAACTCAGGGTAGTGACTAAGGGGATATAGGAGATAAAGCCCAAGCCCAATCCGGAAGTCAGCATTAGCAAGTTACTATAAGTTATTATCAGAATTTGTCAAGAAGTTAATCACTTTTAGCAAGTTGTTATCAATGTTGTTTTTGGTTGTGATTCTGTTATTAGTTGTTAGGTGGTGTAAATAGCCACAGTTGAATCTCTCTCTTATCAATTAATACAATACACACTTTGTCCAAGCAATTACAATCATCTCTCTCTTCTCTGTTGAAGCTTTCCTCTGCATCTTGCTTAAGTCTATGATACCTCACAAAATCCAAGGCAAAGCTTTTGCCTTCCATCTGAACTTTGAACACCTCCCTGTCCTCTGAATCTTTAATCAAGCAATGTTTGTCTTCAAACAGCACCTTATAACCTTTTTCCAGCAACTGAGGAACACTCAAAAGGTTTTGATTGATTTTAGGAACATATAGAACATCATAATGTAGTTTCAAACTTGTGTGGCCTTCAAACTTCATTTCCAATCTTGACTTTTGAAAGAACAATTTTATCAAGCTCTTTGAAGAGATCACGATCATAAGTCACATGGTTTGTACCACCACTGTCAGTGAGCCAACTTTTGTAGAGCTATTGGCAGCAACAGCAATCAAACTGCTCCTATCCTCTGCAACCTTACTTCTTCTTCTTGTTGAAATTTGCATATCCTTTTCATGTGGTCAATGTATGACCACATTTTTGACATTGTGCATCTGGCCACCACTAGCACCTTTTCTACGGATGACTAGTTTCTTGGCGATGAGGGCAAGGTGGATGAAGTTGAGCGTTATTGCTTTGATTGTTGTTTTTTCTATTTTCAAAATCTCCAGTCTTGTTGCTATTGCTTTTTCCATTATTGTTGATTTGCAACTTGACTTGAAAGGCATCTTCCATAGATCCTTCTTGCGTCATAACACTTCTTTGCTCTTTCATTCTTTGTAACTCAAATTCCCTTTATTAAATTTAGCACATGCATACTTTGTATCATTTGATCTCCTGTATATTTTTCTTTAAGGTAATCCCAAATCGCTTTTGCTGTTTTGAAGGTCATGATTCTAGCAAAGATAGTTTTTGAGACACAAGCAAATAGACATGCCATTGCCTTTGCCTTCTTGGTTTTTTTCTCTTTCTGATTTTTAATTGGGCTCTGACATGGAGCAACATCATTATCTTCTTCCACAGCTTCAACATCTTTTAAGACTTCTAGGAAGCTTATTATTCACTCTCTTCAAGAACCATATGATCAGACCTCAGATTACTCTGAGAAATCAAACAGAAGGATCAACATTCTATCATCAGGCAATATTGAGGGGAGCCTAGCATCGTATTCTAATTCTCAGTAATCAATATAATCAGAATGGCAGCTTATATGGTGATGTTCAGTTCCAAGGTGGAGCAGAATCAGTCTCGTCAATAGGTGACCTTCCTGGGGATGCTGATATGCAGAGGCCTCTTGAGATGGTTCCTGAAAGTAGATATGTTACTCAAACGGTTCTCATTAAAAAGCCACTTCAAAAGATTAACCGTAAATTTGTTTGTGGCCTTTCTTTTGTTCTTCTAGCGATGGCTACTCCTTTACTATGGATCAATAGTCAAGAAGAAGGCCATTTTCTTGTTCCAACATAATGTGCTCATTCAAGTGTTTACAACCCTCAATTAAGAGCATGGTAGAATGGTTCTGTGAAAGTGTTTGCTGATTTCAACTAAATGCTGGAAGCTCAGTGTAGAAGTAAAAGATGTGTAAGATTGGGCACACTCAATGTGCTTTTATTTTTCTTATAAACTATATAAAAACTTTTGATTGAATTCTACCTTCTGGTGGATGGAAGCGCAAATGCATTTATTTTTATGTGTATTTGGAACTCGATGAACATATTTCATTCAGTCAAATTAAATGTCATATATATTTTTCATGTAATATCTGAAGTTAATTAGGTGGCTTTTAGAGGTTTTATCTGTTTGCCTGACTTGCAAGAATTGTTACGATAAATTTAGCTTCTCGGTTACCATATTGAATGCGTGAGCTTATGATTAACATTTTTATAGTGGATTAAGTTTTACTAACCTTGGTGAAGACATTTTAGGAAATTTTATCATTAGAAATTGTGCAATGCTCATTGTTAGACCATTTGACAATATATTTCGATTTTCAAGTTGCCCTCTTTCGTAATGTTTTTAAATTAGACTGATGATTGAATTGGTGAGGCATTTGAGTATAAATATCCTATTGCCTGTAATGAAATAGATTAATATTTCTCACACATAAATATCAGCAAGTTTTAATCGTGGATACTTTTAAATACTGATGAGAAAATAAATTTTAAAAATATTATTATTATATAATCAATTCAACATCATACAAGTTTGTAGATGACTTGTACAACAATATTTAGACATAAAATAAACAAATTCATGTTTAAACATTCATATTAAAATGATAACTATATCATCATTAGTGGTCGAACACCATTAATTCAATTGTTGAGTTGCTTCCTTAATTGCAACAAGATCGACTCCTTCTTTTAATTAAATAGCAACTTCTTTAAATATAGTAGTGTTTTCAATAGAATAGCAAATTATGTTGACGATAACATCAAGATTGTTTTCAACATAATTTCTTTTGTTTATCCTTTTCCAAAATTAAATGAACCTTTACCACATTAAATAGTTTCTTTTGATTATTTTTGAAACTATATTGTTCTGGATTCATCAACTTGTTAAGGCTCTTGTATCAAATAAAAATTGAAAAGGACAAACCTAAATTTTACACACAAGGCATACATTTTGTCTCTGCTATCCAGTGAATTTGCTTAAGATAATCACAAAGAGAAACTTAGGCAATTTATTATAGATTTGGATTATGTAAATATTGTCCACCTCTCCATACATCTTGAGGACTTAGTATTATTGGTTTGAGGATAGCAGCTTGGCCAACACATATGTAAGAATACTTGCTGTAAATTTCAACTCGTGAGCCAGGACTGAAAAGGTACATTTCATCAAATCCATTTCTTCCAATTGACACGGAGTTTCTTCTACCCTGAGAAAATCAAAGATTTAGTGGATCAGCGCTGAGATCATGTCAAGAATTTCAAATAAAATATAATATAGTTTACCTATTCAATGGAACTAAGGTAAAATGAATTTAATTTCTCTATGTGAGGAGTGTGCAAGAGTATGCATGTCAAGTATCATTACTCATTCCACCGTAGAGCATGATAATTACATACCCTGTCAATCACTGTGAAACTTCGAGGTGCATCTGTGTATACAAGACTTATATTATCACATAACTTCTTGTAGTTGTCCATTTCCTCATCCATTTCTTCAAAATTTCTTTGCCTTCCTTCTGCTCCATTATTCTGACTTTTAGTACTCCAAGTTGGAAAAATTTTCTCAGTAGCTGAATTCCATATTTTCCCAAAGCCTTCTTCCTGGCTTGAATTTGCAGGACTCAACATAAATTCTGATTCCAAAGGGGGCTTACTGCAGTAATTTGATCTTTCTAATCCTATTGCATAAGTTGCTTCTGGTGAGCTTACTGTCAGATGGCTCAGAATGGACCCTGTCATGTGAAGGGCCAAAGACTTTGAGTTTGAGATTTCAAGCTCCGAGCTTAAGGCATCTTCTTCCAAAGTCACTATGTATTTTAATCCAATCTTGTCGTCTGATGATCTGTTTATTAATTCTACCTGCATCAAATATTCTCAACTTGTCTAAGTAAATCTGAAATTGCAGCTGATAAAAAAATCTGAAACTGTGACAGCAAATGGACCGAAGTATCTTCTAGCAATTTAGCATGTATGGCAAATTGATTCAGGCATTTCGGTATATCAACAGGTCACTTCCCATACCCATATTGGTCCAGCACAAGCTAGTTCTAGTTCTAATATTACCTTAAATTTGAAGTTTCTTTATATAACACAATATTAAATTACACCTAAGGAAAATATACCTTGATGGATTCCTTTGGATTGCCATTAATCTTATGCAGAACCCAATTAGTTGGGGAGAAAGAAAGTTCACCATCATCAGTTTGAAACTTGAAGTTTAAAGACACCCCTCCTTGAATAATGGCATCACCATATTCTCCCTCTGACACAGCAGTGTGGAGCAACTCCACTTTGCCTCCATGCCACATAGGAGTCTTGTAGGAAGTGATCAACCCACTTGGAAGCATCATGGTCGCAATGCTTCCATTTTTCAACTCCATTTTTGCAATGCAATTGTCACCAACTGCTTCAAAGGTGACTCCATGTCCACTGAATTCTTCTTCCAAGTAATCAAAGTTGATGGGTTGGTAAGGAACGGAAGCCACTAAAGGGAGTGGAAAGTCTCTCTTGCATTGCTTGTGTGGTATGTTACAACTAGCAGAAGGAAAACAAGTGTGTAGAGAAAGTGTGTTTCTAGTTGAAGTAAGAATCGATGTGGGAATGAAACTAATGGAGCAAAAAAGTGAACTTAAAGCCATGGTGATGTTGCATGCCAAATGAGGTGTTACTTAAGACATTGTTGGGGAAGAGAACTTTTTCTTGGTCTTGTTGGCATGGCTAAGAATTGGTCTATGTGGATAACGTGATTGATTTTATCGCTTCTGATTTTGCGTTTTAGCAACTTGGATAATTTAAGATATTTTGTAGCTTTTGTTCTTCTCTAACACTTTGTCTTTTTTGCTTCGTTTAGCAATATATAGGGATTGGTTCGATATTCAAGCATGCTGTATATTTCCTATGCTAACAAATTGGGTTTTAATTTAACAAAATAATGAAATTTTAATTGTAATAGTCAACAGCTGGTATTTTCCTGTCTTCTGACCCGATTATTATGGGAAAATGCAATCTGAGTTTTTGTTTTGTCATACATTATTGAAAGTTTAAATTTAGAGTTAATTACTCCAATTTCTCCTTTATTTTTCGCTTCTTGTAGTACTTAATTTTAATTTTTTAATAAAATTCTCTTCATTTTAAATATATTGCAGTGTAGTCTAATTTTAACGTTATATTTAACAACATAAATAGTCAACTATTATCTTTTTTATTAAAGTGAAAGTACCCATAATTTAAGTTTAGATTTATTGCACAAACACTATATTTTATAAGCATCACAAAATTTTTTCTCATATTTTATTAATATTTTAACCTATTTTATAACTAAAATTTATAATTCTCAAATACGTAAATGGTGAATTTTTTAAAAAATAATATAAGAAAATACATATTGAAATTAATTAATTTTATATCTTCAAAAAAATTAAAATACTTAAAAAAATATTTACGTAAATCCAAATGATTTCGTCGGTGTTCTAAAATGGTTTTAAAGAAATACTCCCTCCTTAATAACAATTAATTTAAATAATTTTAATTATTCTAAAGATATAAACATAATTAATTGTTCTATATTTTTTATAACATGGGTTTAATTATAAAACATTTATAAAATATGAGAAAGGTTTTTGTAATGCGAGTTTTCTGTAATGAGTCCAAACTTATATAAGTGTATTTTTATCACTTTTAATACAAAAAATAATAATTGACTACTGACTAATGTTTCTATTAATTGCAACATTAAAATTAGACAACAGTGTGATAAATTTTTAAAATAAAAAGAGTTTTGTCCAAATTTAAAAAGGATTTGTGATTCTATAAGAAGTTAAGATAGTAGATAAAAAATGACTTAAAAAAATTCTAAACAGTAAATTTTTAGGACTGAAGATTGATTGTAATTGAAAAACAAGAGATTGTGGAGTAGATGAAGCCTTTATTTAAAAAAATAAAAAAATATAATAAATAGAGTTAAAAAAGGGATACCCTTAAAAAACATGAAAAAAAAAAAAAAGATAAGGGAGAGAAAAGGAAAGAAGAAGAGAGTAAAGATGAAGAAAATTTATTCTCAAATCACATTTTTTTGAAGATAACAAGTAATTTTAAGTCATTACAAAGAAATTGAAAGAACAAATGTTAGAGGGTTGGAGGAGAAATTTAACTAGGAACTTTCAACTATTGTAAAGTAGTTTGAAAGAACAAACGTGGAAGAGAATAAAGTTTTTTTGTTTGTCGAATTAAATAAGGATAATTTTACCTTTTGTTCTTTTTTCTGTATGTTTACACATTAATTTTGTATGGTAATAATTCTCCTTATTTATTTATTTTTTAGTTTTTTTTTCTTATCTCTGTTATCCTGTTTTTTCTGATGGTGAACCAATAATTACAAAAACAATAAAAAATCATATTTTGTGATATAAATAACAAATAAATTATTTTTTAGTGACTTGTATATTTTATTAATATTTCTCTTATGAACCAATGAAATAAAAGAACCCTATACATAAATCATTTAATAGAAGAATTTAAAAAAAAAAAACTTTTAATATGTCACTTAAGTTATATAAGAATTTTTGAACCCAAAAATTAAGAATCAAAAGTTCTTATCACCTAAAATAGCATAACCACTTAGAATAAGAAAATTGATTATATTTGAATTTTGTGACATAAACAACAAAGGAATCATTTTTTTAATTACCTTTTTCTTCATTTTCTTTAATTAGTCTTTCTTTTTTTAATCTAATGAAATAAAAATTAAACATTGTCACATAAATAACCAAAAAAATAAATAAATCATTTTTTAGTAATTTTTTTTCTTTTACTGATTTTTCTTTTATGAATCAATGAAATAAAAATTAAATCTTGTAACAATAAACAAATTTTAGTAACATTTTCACTCCAAAAAATATATTTCCTTTTTTTGGCTATTGTTAATTTATTATTATCTTTTTAATTTCCTTTCTAATTTTTATAATTTGAGAGATTTTATTTTTTATATTTTTAAAATAAAGAAACACAATTTTAGAAAAAAAAAATTTAATTTTGAATTACAGCAATGAATTGTTTATAAAAAAAATATTTTTTTTTGTTTTTAGATAAAAAATAAATTTTAAAAAATTATTTTGATACTTTACTTTTCTAATTATTTCTTGAAAGAAGAAAATATTAAATTTTTATAGTCTTTTAAATTCAAAATTAAATAAAGAAAGTATAAAAAATGTCTTTTGAAGTTTTAAAATTGAGAAAAAAATTAAAAATATATTTTGAACTTGACGAATTAGATTTCTACTCATGTATTTCTTATGGAGAAATTAAAGCCACATTGTTCTATTTTTAAAATAAGATTTAGATTAGTTTCAAATATTTTTTCACTTGCACTAAAAGAAATTAATAAATATTTTTTTAAAATATTAATTTTATTTGAAAAGAGAGAATTAAAAAAATTACTTCTCTTAATTTAAAAATAAATTTACTCTTACATATAATTTAAGTTAGCACATAATTATTCAATAAATTATTACAATCTAAGTAATATTAAAGATAAATTAATTACTCCATTAACATCACTTCATCGTTGCATGGATTTACAATTATTTTGGAAAAAAATTAATATTAAATATTTCTTTTTTTGACTATTAGGTATAAACCCTTTTTCATAAGATTTAAATTAATACTTACGTATTCAATTAACTCTTACGATTTAAGTAACATTAAAGCTGAATTTATCACTCTATCAACATTAATTAGTTATTGCATAGATTTAGAAAAAAAATTTAAAATTTTTTTTTTCTGAAATTTGAAAATTTGTATTTTATTATTTTTTGTGCTTATGATAAAAATATATTTACAAGCAAACTTGCATGATACTCGATATAATAAAGTAAATATAGCAATAATGTTTTAAACACACATCTGTGTTATTTTTATTATATTTTCATTTTATTGGCTAAAAAGAGAAAAAAAAGTCACTATTATCTTAAAATTTTTAGAGTACATCACAAGATTTTATTATTATTAATTTTTTTACTTTATTGTATTGGTTTAAAAGGAAAAAATAATAAAGAAAATAAAATTTTAATATAAAAATTATTTAATCAAAAGATTTGATTTTTTTATTATTCAAAAAGAAAGAAAAATAGAAAAATAAAGAAAAAAAAAGTCACAAAAATTTTGTTTGTCACAAAATTTAATTTTTATTTCATTAGTTCATAAAAAAATTAATAAAAAGAAAAAAATCATTAAAATAATTATTTCTTTATTATTTATGTCATAAAATTTGATTTTTATTTCATGATTCATAAAAAGAAAACTAATAAAGGAAAAAGAAGAAAGAGTCACTAAAAAATGATTAATTGGTTGTTTGTGTTACAAGATTGATTTTATTCTATTAGATTATAAAAAAAGTTAATAAAAAAATGTCACTGAAAAATGATTTTTTTGGGTTGTTTTTATCGTAAATTTTTAATTATTTTTATTATTATTAGTTTGCCAACGTAAAGATAACAACAAAGGTAAAAAAGAAAAAAAAAATGAAAGAATAAATAAAAGAAATCATTGCCACAAAAGATTGATATAGAAAAAGAAAAAGAGAGAAGGACAAAACGTAAAATCATCTTTACTTGATTCGACAGATAAAAAATTGTTCTCCTCACATTTGTTCTTTCAACTGTGCCTGTTCTTTCAATCGTGATGGCTTACAGTTACCAATTGTATTTAAAAAGTGTTCTTTGAGAATAGATTTTTAAACTCTCAAACGTTCTTTTTTTTTTCCTATGTGACACATGCCTCTTATTTATAGTTAAATAATCCTAAACTTATTTAATATATTTTTTATTTTTTAAAATAAAAATTTTATTTTCTTCGCAATATCTTATTTTTTAATTACTAGTAATTTACTTTCTTAAAAAAATCTACCATTTTTAATTTTTTTAAGCCATTTTTTATCCACTATCCTGATTTCTTATATAATCTAATCATTATTCTATTTTTAAAAATTTTGAATTTTATTTTATTATTTTAGAATAGAACCTAGATAATTGATTATTCATACTTTTATCCAAAAATAAAAAAATTGATATTTTTTTAAATAAATAATTTATTTCTTCAATTCAAAATTAAAATTGTTTTCTTCCTAAAATCTTTCATAAATTAAAAATTAAAAATTAAAAATGAAATTAAAAAGATAATAACAATTTTAAAAAAATATATATATAAACAAATTTTTTGAAGTAAAATAAATATTTTTAAAGTTAAAATAATTATGCACAATTAATTAGGATATAAATATTTTATTTAATAAGTATTATAAGATGTTATATGTAAGTAACTTTTGAATCTAAATTTTATTTTGAAGATTATTTTTATAATTAAAGCTTTTGCAACGATTTCTTCGATAAATTTTAGTGATCACTCTCTGTCATTATCTTTTGTATGTTGATTGTAATTTTTTCTTTATTATTATTTTTCATGCAACCATCATCTCGTCGTGACTTTGATAGTAATAATATGTAACCAATTTAAGTAACATGACTTTTATTCTACGAAAAATGCTAATATGTACTCAATTAAAAAATTAAAAAAATATTTAATAATATATTCATTCTTAGTATTTTTAGTGCATTTTAATATAATTTTAAATAAAAATTTTATTTTTAGTAATTTTTTGTTTAAATAGAATTTTAGTCTCCAAAAAAGTTATGATTTTTCTCATTTGATCCGTCATTATTTTTTCTAAACAAGTCCCTCCAAAAAAAATTTAAACATTTCTTCCATTACTAATTCATTATTTTTACTCATACAATATGACATAGAATTTACGTGGATGATAATGTTATATTTACACTTCCATTCACTTTATCTTTTTAAAGTTCAATTTCAAAGTCATACTTTATAAGCTAAAATTTCCTTAAAATATATAGAAAATGTGATATTATTAATGAAACATCTTGTTCGTGTTACATCCTTTTGTTAAGTTATATGAAACAACTCAGATGTTATGTAATCAAATAACAAACGAGTTAATAAATTACTAATAAAAATGACAAATGAAAATGAAAAACAATTTTTGAGAGACAAAAATTTGAAAAGACATAAATAAAGAGAAGAGACCAAATGAAAAATAATGTTTAAGAAACTAAACCTTATTTAATCCTTAATTTTTTAACTAGTAGCAAGATACATAGCTAAACCTAATATTCTTTTTCTTTTTATTCAACCTTTTCACTCCAACCCTACAATAACTGCAACAAAGGCTCCTCCTTAACCTAACATGCATGGTAAAGAGGGAAGATTTTGCAAAAGCTAGGCCACCCAAAGTGATATTGATGTAGATGCATTACTTGTATGTGAATGTGATGAAGGCAATGGATCTTTTTACTATGGATATCTCGGGGAGTCTTGACTCTTATGCAGAAGTGAAACTATCTAACTACAAAGGCATCACCAACCAATAATCAAAACCCTGTTTGGAAGCTCTCATGGATGATTTTATGGGTAGAGTTACATTTGATCTCATGCTCTTCTTCTTTGGATACCCCACTCATCTGTCTCTTCAATGGAAAAGATTAGTTTACAGCAAATTTCAAAAGACTAAAGTGCTTTACTTCAACTTAAAAATTTATTTATTTTTATATAAACCAAAGTATGAGAATATCTTATGTCTTTCTTATGAGTAGAAGCACAAGAATGTAATTTACATCAAAATATAACAACTAGCAAAATAGTTATTGTGGGCTTTAGATATCATTGATATATATATTCTCCCATGAAATGCCCTCTTAAAAGTCAAAAGCGTGTAGAAGTAGAATGATTTTTCCAGCTCATTTTGGCAAAAGCCTCTTGCAACGACCAAAATAACTAATAAAAAAATTGTCTAAATTTCGTCAAACCCCACAATTTAAAATTTCTTCTAACACTAATTTGAAGTCATAGATAATATAAAGGATCTCAATTGATCAACAAAAAGTCAATTATTTTAGGTAATGTGAGAGATAATCATATTATTTCTGTCATACTGGCCAGTTCTTCGTAGTTAATACCAAATGTCTCCTATTTCATATATTTTAATCTAAAACGTATGCAAGATTCTTAATTGTGGTACTGATCATTATTTATTCTAATAGAATCAAAATAAAAACTGAAAATGATATAACACATGAAATATCATGACATGACTGTCATTTCATTTAAGAAAAAACGCTTTTCATAAAATTTTAAATTTATTTTAATATTTTTATAAATCTTATTAAAATAATTTTGTTTAATTTATTTTAACATGTTTTATTATTAAATTTATCATATATAACTTGTTAAATAAATATTTAATTAAACTATTTATCTAAACACGACATTTATGTACGGCATCATCCCTTAAGAACATTAACTAGGATAAAAAAATTGTTCAGTTTGGAATAACGAGGCAAGAAGGAATGGCTAAAATAAATATTTATTTTATTTTTCTCCCTTAAACTAACGTTTCGAAAGTTCCACGTAAATGCTGTAAATTACTTTTCCAAACACACTATTCGTCATTATTTTGAATAGACTCCTACGATTATCATTTCATAGGGAAAATGCATGAGATAAACTTTAGAATAAGAGAAGCGAAGTTTGACATTTCGAACAAGAAAGAAAATTAATCATTTACATAAAAGGAAAATTATGCAAAATTTTTGTGATAACAAATGAATTAATTCATCCCTACGATGGGTTTCACCAGGTGCAAAAATTTGTTCTCAATGTTCATCCTATTATCATATTGTAATTTATTAGATAATGTTGTTTTTGCCGTAAACACCACCACACCATCATCTCAAATCATCAAAGATCCTGAAACTCTCAGCTCCAATAATGGAAACTTCACCTTGGGGTTCTTCACCCCTGAAAATTCTACAAACCGTTATGTGGCAATTTGGTGCAAATCTCCAGACACTGTTGTGTGGGTAGCCAACAGAAACCAACCCCTTAATGATTCTTCTGGAGTTATAACAACATCTGAGGATGGCAAGCTTGTGGTGTTGAATGGACAGAAAAAGGTGATTTGGTCACCAAATATGTCTTATATTGCATCCAATTCTAGTTTCTATGTTTCAAGTTATGGTAGTCTTGTCTTGGTGGCTGCAACAGGAAACACCATATGGGAGAGTTTCAACCATCCTTCAAATACATTGTTGCCCCATATGAAAATTTCTAGCAACAAAATAACAGGTCAGAAACCAATAAGTACTTACATTCTAAATAGTAGTCTTTTTGTGCTATCACTCGTGTCAGATACGTATTCATATCAGGTACTGCATAGATACTTCAAATACTTTTAGTTGCAATTTTACTTTTTTTTCTTTTAATTTTTAAACTTCTACACCAATACAAATTGGAGTACCATAATAGTTGGTTAAATTTTAGCCTTTTATAATGTTTATAACTATATATGCTCATTTTTAAAACATGAATTCTGGTAATTTCAAATTTTTATTGCATGTTAATTTTAGATAAGTTTTGTGTTTGTATTTTAGTTGTATCATATCATATGAATTTTAGAGTTTGTTGTATTCTCATCTGTGTCATATCTTGTGTGTATTGTATCTTAGGTGAGAAAGTAGAACTTACATCATGGAAAAGCCCTTCTGATCCATCCATTGGAAGCTTCTCTTGTAGTGTTGAACGCTTACAGATTCCTGAAGTGTTAGTTTGGAATGGATCTCAACCATATTGGCGCAGTGGTCCATGGAATGGTCAAGTCTTTATAGGCTTACAACACATGGGAGTATCCTATCTTAATGGTTTTAGTGTTCAAAATGATGTGGATGGAACAGTGGGTATATCTTTTGCAGTAGATGACTTTGGAATCGCAATCTACTCCCTAAATTCGCAAGGACAAATCTTAGAAAAAGATTGGGACGATGAGAAAAAGGAATGGCAAGTTACATGGACAAGTCAAGAATCAGATTGTGATGTTTATGGCAAATGTGGGCCCTTTGCAATCTGTGATTCACAAGGCTCACCAATATGTAGCTGTTTGAAAGGATTTGAACCAAGGAACAAGCAAGAATGGAATAGTCAAAACTGGACTAGTGGATGTGTTAGGAGGACAGATTTGCAATGTGAAATGGTCAAGAATCAAAACACAAGTGAAGATGGTGATAAAGCAGATGGGTTTCTGCAATTACAAATGGTCAAAGTTCCTGATTTAGCACAATTGTCATCTGTTACACAAGACACATGTAGAAGCCAGTGCTTGGAGAATTGCTCTTGCAGTGCATATTCATATGATAATGTTATTGGCTGCATGTCTTGGAATGTGAATCTAGTTGACATACAACAATTCCCAAGTGGGGGAACTGATCTATACATCCGTGTAGCCTCCGCTGAACTTGGTATGCTAGGTGTTATCAGCCCAAAAATTTGAATTTAGTATCATATCAACTTTGTTTGGACATAAAATTCTTGATTTTTAAATTTTTATTTTTATTTTCCTTGAATCGCAGATAAAGGGCATAACATAAAAGTGATCATTATTATAGTTACTGTGATAATAGGAATTTTCATAATTGTCACATCTGTATGCGTCATTTGGAGAAGGGATTCAAATTCAGGTAATATTTCATTGTTGTTGATTTAAATTTTATCCGTATAGGCTTACATTTTTTTTATATGGGATCTAAGCTTATAAGTTTATGTTTGACACCCCTGCCAAACTGTGGTGCTTAAATAAATCAGCGAGGAAAAACAAGAACCCTGGATTTTTTCGACTTAACAAAGGTCAAACATCTGAAGAATACACAAATGACAATGTAATTGGAGAACTGTCACCAGCTAAGTTACAAGAGCTACTAATATTTAATTTTGAAAAGGTTGCAACTGCCACAAACAACTTCCACCTATCCAACAAACTTGGGCAGGGTGGTTTTGGTCCAGTGTACAAGGTATTGTACATCTAGCATATTTAATCATGTTTGAAACCAATGTTTATAATTCATGTTTCATGATATTGTATTCTAGGGGAAATTGCAAGATGGTAGGGAAATAGCTGTTAAAAGACTTACCAGATCATCTAGACAAGGGCTAGAAGAATTCGTGAATGAAGTAGTAGTGCTTTCTAAGCTCCAACACCGCAATCTTGTAAGACTTCTAGGCTGCTGTGTTGAAGGAGATGAAAAGATGTTGATATATGAGCTTATGCCGAATAGAAGTTTGGATGCATATGTGTTTGGTTAGTTCTATTGTTGGCCCTTCAGTGTCAATCTCATTTTCAGCTCAAGACTTTCATATTTTACTTATTCATCATACATAATTTAATTTTTCAAAAAAGTGAACAATAGTTTCCCTGCTAGTGAGATTTCTTGAAAGCATGCTAGATGGAAAAATTAAATGCATCTTCTGATAATTTAAAAATAATTATGACGTGTCAGTTTTCACTTTTTACAGATCCATCCAAAAACAAACTCCTGGATTGGAAAAAGCGCTTTAGCATAATAGAAGGAATAGCTCGAGGATTACTTTATCTTCATAGAGATTCCAGGCTAAAAATCATACATAGAGATTTGAAGGCAAGTAATGTCTTGCTAGATGGAGAACTAAATCCAAAAATATCAGACTTTGGTATGGCCAGAATCTTTGGAGGGAGTGAAGATGAAGCCAATACTCAAAGGGTTGTTGGAACATAGTAAGTGTGCCTTGTTTTTGAAATGTATAGCAACAAACTTGGAGAATCAACTGTTACATTTTTATTTTTAATGCAGTGGCTATATGTCACCTGAATATGCAATGCAAGGAGTGTTTTCTGACAAATCAGATGTATTTAGCTTTGGAGTTTTGCTAATAGAGCTTGTTAGTGGAAGACGAAACTCAAGCTTTCATGACAGCAACAATGCTCTTACCCTCTTAGGATTGGTAAGTCTCAACAAATACAACTCATCTATGGCACAATTATGGGAAATTTATAGCCTTTTTCTGATACAACTACCAAATATTTTGATTTTAGGTCTGGATAAAATGGAGGGAAGACAATATTTCATCTTTAATAGATCCAGAAATATATGATCACAACCTTCATAAGAATATTTTGAGATGCATACATATAGGACTTTTGTGTGTGCAAGAATCTGCAGCAGACAGGCCCTCAATGGCTGCTGTAATTTCTATGCTTAACAGTGAGATTATGGATCTTCCTCCTGCAAGGGAACCTGCATTCATATTGAGGCAAAATATGCTGAGTTCAGTCTCCTCTGAAGAAAGCAATAAACTGTACTCCTTGAACATTGTCAGTATTACAGACGTCCAAGGCAGATAGAAAACTTGGAGCTTAGAGTAAAATATTTCAAAGCCAGCGGTAAAATAATATTATTGAGATCATTGGCACTTGTATAATTATGACACGACATTATGGAATTATTTGATTTATGTATATCCCACATAGTAGGAGAAGGATTTGGTTATTAGAATTTTATATAGATATCCTTTCCATTGTGAGGAATACAGTAACAAATTTAATGATTCAAATTTATATAAAATTGGTTTTAGAGAGAACTTTGAAGTCTTCTATGATATTAGGGTTGGTGGGATAAGAACACCCTGCAGCATTTCAGGATACAGTGTTTTACCTCATGGAAATATAAGACTCCAGAATGTGGCTTGCCTATTTTCCTGTCGATGCAATTTAACTATGTATAACTTACCGTTATCATTCTTGCTGATGTTTTTTAGCGTACAAACTATGGAACAATATTTCCTTAGATAGAGAATAGTTTGCCCTGCCCATACAGAAGGATGTTTTTCATATGCCAATATAGGTTTTTAATTTTTATTTGTGCACAAGCTATGGCATGCACTTCAAAAGCAGACCAGTTTTTGTTTTAGTTCTCCCAAAATGTTAAAACATTTTGTTCTATTATGTTAAAAATGCTATTGTCCAAGGAAGATGGGACAGTGATCATAACACTGTCAATAAATGAATGAATTTTTTTACTTACAGATTATCATTCCTTTAACAATGAGGATATGAATAGGGCTTGAGCCTGAACTTAAACAATACAGCTCCTTCCTTTCCTCAATTTCAATCTTTGACAGGGTAGACCTAGTGGTTCCTCAACAACCATGATACTTAACCTTATTTTTTCCTCTCCAAATTGTGAAATTCCACATCATAGCTTGGTTCATCCTTGGAAGGCTGAGGACAGCACATGGACACATAAATCACAGCTCCTAGTCCTCCATAAACTTCCATATTCAGGATCAATTGTTTATAGTTTGCCTTTTGACTTCACCCAACCAATGCAGCCCTAAAACCACTCAAACCAAACAGGTTTGAATCCTTATTTATTTCCTTAAAATATGATAAATGTAAGTCGTCTTGTAAATATTTTGAGTCCAGCTACTTTTCCTTATTTAGAATGAGAAAATATTCCCTCCCCTTAAATTTATTTACAGAAAAAAGAAAGGAAGTAAATCTGGTTGCCGATGTCTAGGATAGGCAAGCAAGTATTCCTTGCATTCAAACAAGTTGACTACATTTTCTATTACACAAATGTAACAAACGTTTATTCAATTAAGCGTAACCAGTAAAATCAATATTTTATTAATTGATTTGGTCGAGTCAAAACTGATAACCAGTTTATTTATAGTTTATTAATACTACATATTGAACGTACTCTAATTTAATTTAACGAAATTCCAAACAGGCAATTTTTAATTTTCTTTAAAAATGTTTTTCACGAGAAGAAAATGCTATGGCTGATAATCTTGCTTGCATCAAACAGAGAATTCTTTATGCAAGAGTAATTAGTTGGACAAATTTCAAATAGAAATTGTATTTTTAGTTTATATTTGCATTTCTTTTTTACAACAGGGATACGGAGATAAACATTAATAGCAAGATTCATGTATTGAACAGATAAAGAAAAAAAAATGTATATATATAGATACCGTTCGATCGATCGATCCCAAATAAAGGCCATAAGCGGTATTACTCTCAGTAAATGAACCCCACTCTTACCATAAGATTAAAATTAAATAAAATTTACAGACAAACATCTCTGTCTTGATGGAAAATCAAAGTCCAAAATTTGTTAAGATCCCACTTAGACTTTGATAGAAAACAACGTGACTATGCCATGTTTCAAGACGACACGTTGATTGTTGAGATACAAACATGTCCAAAGCAACAATCGAATCTCAATTTTAGTCTTCATCCATGCCAGCAGGTTGCTCTCTCCTTGGACCACCAGCTGGTTTTGCCATAATAATCTGGAGATATCAAAATATAATACACATTAGTTTGTTACTAGAAAAAAAAAAGATGAAAATATAGTATTCAATTTCACATAATCGCAATTGTCCAAAACCATAAGAGACTCGAGAATTTCTCATAAGATCAAATACTGGAGCAACTGGTAGAACCCACTATTTTATTAAAATGAGCACCACGCCATAACCATAGCCTACCAACAGCTATATTGCAAGTATTTTATCCTCATGGTGTATAATGGCACAGTTTGAGCACTGTAAATCAGTAGTGGCTGTAGTTTTTCAACTTCAGCTCCTCATAGACACATTTATTCTTGCTGATCAGAGCATAAATTGAATAAACATTATTTGCAAGAATCTCGTATTGCTAACTCGAGCATTGTTGTTTCCAAACCTCTATATCTACATTTTAAAGAAACTTAAATCCCCATGCACTTTAAGTGCTAAACCAAGAATTGCTCCAATCTTGATTGTTAGATCCAATGTCTAAATATGGCGTACATCATGTACCCAAATGCTTCCATACAGTAGCCCATAAACACGAGTAGCATGTTATTAGCATTATTCTTAACTACAGCTTGCAATTTTCTTTAGTTGTTCTGTTCACTCCCCAAAAACAGATCAACAAACCTCCCCAAAAAACAGATCAACAAAGAGGGGAAGGGGGAATCCATATGATCAACACAGGTTGCCCCCATTTAAAAAGTTGGATATTCCTTTATAAATACATTTATTAACCATCAAAAGTTTGTTTCCCAAAGAAAAATGTGCTTCCGAGGTACTTATTAAAGGGGCAATTGTAATTGACAGGGAACAATTGGCTACTATTTATTTCTAGATGATTACCTGGTCCACTCGAAGTACAGTGCATGCAGCATCTGCAGCATATTTTAGAGCAAAGAACCTGAACAGAGAAAAACAATAAGATGAAACTAGTCTTCCAGGTAATATGAGAAAGTTCTAATATAATCTAGAATTATTTCAAATCTTAGCAGTTGAAAGAAGGCCCCAGTTTCATCAATCACAAGAACCCTTAATTACTCTCTAAATTTTTATTACTTTAAAGAAATCTACACTACAGTAATGAAAATCCAGCTCACTATTTGTTCAAACTATTAATAAATCCTGTTCATGCTAGCATTAGAAAGTAGCTTACTTAGTCACATGGAGATCCCAAATGCTCATGGTCGAGGCATCCTTACAAACACCTTCATCCAAATCAATGCCAACTTTAGTATTTCCAGATGCATGTTCTGCATACAGAGAAGATATGATCTCCATTGCATTTAGCCCAGCATTCTCAGCCAAAGTTCTAGGAATCATTTCAAAACTTTCAGCAAATTTTGCTATAGCATACTGATCCAATCTGCAGAGCAATTGCAAACATTTAGTCCATCTCACTCACATCTCAATAACCAAATAAAAATTGAACCAAAAAAAAATGAAGAATAATCCATAAAATATGGTCCCAGAATAAAATCATCCAAGATCAAGTTTAGATTTTAGAACACATTTATGTTATACTGACTTTACTAATTATCAAGAACTAGCGATAAAAGATTGACACAGCTCAATAGATCAAATCAGACAGGTGATCAAAGCCACATATTTGAAACAGAAAGATATTCAACCAATTAAACGAATAAAATAACATAAGTTATCGGTAAATCATCCCAAAGGGCTAAATGCTAATGAAATGCAAATACACAGAAAATAGGATGATGAATGTATATTGAAGCACGATGGTATCAAAATGCAGACAATTTGAGTAAACAAAAGTAGTCACCGAAGTTCCACAAATTCATGGTCAGCTGCATATACATGGGAATCAACATATTAGAAGCATTTTTTGTTTAAAATCAAAATTAGATATGTCTGTCAAGACTTTCTTTTTTAGTCACTTGCATCTCTTCAATCTGGCACTTGCTACAAAGTGCCTTACATGGACTTCAGCAAATGAAATAAAATTTTTACCAAGTCCTGATAGGATACATATATCCTTATACCAAATAAAAAAATCGTGTTTTTTAAATTAGTGAGGTATACGATCAAAAAATTCAATTTGTAATTATGTTTCATCTCCACAGATGGAAATATGTAGCATATTTGGAAACGATATGACAATCATACTCCAGGATCGAACAAACTAAATTCCCAATGTAATTAAAAATAAATATTAAAAATGCAAGAGACATGTGCACATATCCCCAAAAATGTAAATCACTTTCTTTTATAGTGAAAACTTGTGGGAAATAAAAAGTACCCTGTCTCCTTGAAGGAAAATTCTTTCACCCTTTTAGCTAACTCAATTTCAGTTGCTGCAGCTCCAGATACAACACGACTATCCCTACACATGGCCTGAGAAACAATTACACAGAAAGATATTAATCAGTATTCAAAACTGAATTAGCTAAAACCTACAATTATTTTTTAAAAAGAATGCCTGCAGAAGTGTAATCCGGACAGATGTAGTAACAACTGTTAGATGCTTGCAGAGGCCGTAGTTTTACAAGATTGATGGAAACATTGGCAAATTACCTTTCAAGATCATTGAAAATTACTAAACATTGGAAAATACCTTGTAAGTGTTCACTCCATCATCAACTGCTCTTTCAAGATCATCTAGTATACTATCAGTACTTCCTCGTAAAACAACAGTGGAGACAGAATTTCCACCCTCTTCATTTTTCACAATGGTCACCTGCATATCATATTATAAAAAAAAAATGGTAAACTAAATGCCACACTCGGAAGAAAGGAGACCAAAAAAGAAGCAAGGGAAAAGGATAATATAAAAAATATGGAACCAAGAAAATGAAAGAACCAAAAAATCCCTTCAACATACCCTTACACCACCAATTTCCTCAACTGAAACAGAATCAACATATCCAAGATCATCTGGGTTTGGCTGGCTAAGCTTTAGCTGTTGCAAGAAAATAAAATGGGTTAGACAGAAGGCAGAAAGCTTCTTCATGTAGGCAAAGAAGCAAAAGCACAAACCAGAGCAACAGAACCAGTTGTCCGGCAAAATCGACGTAGTTCAAACTTTGAACTGATCTTTAGTACCATAAGCCTACATTCAGGAACTTCAAAGTTAGAAAACAATCTAGACTCATACCATGACTTCAAAATGATAGATATATGAATTACATTAATATTAATTCAATAGCAAGAGATAATTAAAACCACCAAACAAATAAAGACATCACACACTTGTAACGTTCACAAAAATGCAATGCCATCTCTCCTACTGCTCCTCCACTGACAATCACTTTGGCGCCAGAATCTGCTACAGCTTTGATGAGCTCCTCTACTTTAGCCTCTTCAGTTTTAGAATAATTTTCTAGCTATATAAATCAAAACAGAATAAAACCAATCAGCAAAAACATCAAATAATTTGAGAAAAACCATGCTAGTATGCATTAAACAAGAAGCAAGACAGTCATCCATGCTATCAGACTTGCACCAAACCAGCTAGACATCGAGCAGTCAAGTAGAAGCATCTAAATGAAGCTGATACACATAAAATAAAAATATTTCACTAAAAGACATGATTATAGTTTAGATTTTGCAAAAATAAAGCAGATCAAATCATACAACTGAAAATACTCGGCATCCTGAGTTCTTTATCAACTTGGAACAACTATTGACCAACCATTAAGGCCCTTTAGGCTTTAACATATTTTAACAATTAGAAGAATACACAAAATATTAGGCTAAAATGAATCATAGAAACTTTAAGAATAACATCTCACCTGCTAAAATCTACAAGACAATAATTACACAGCCCAAAATAATATCTAGTTAAAGCATTTCCAAATTTCAAACGTGAAAAAGAATAAATCACACAAGTTTAGAATCAACCATTAGTATTTAGCCACAGTATCCTACCATGACAAAATTAATAGGCTTTATTTGGGAGACAGTGATAAGTCACCATCTTATAACACCAGACAAAATTGATAGGCTTCAACAACCACCGCTCAAACAATGAATAAATGTAACAAAAAAACAAGAAAAAGAAGACAGAAAGCAAATTGAAAAATGTAATCATTTTAATATACCTGCTCGGCTGTGTGTATGAGGACAGTTCCTTTGGTTTCAGTTGCAGACGTATCAACACCACCAGCAAACACAGCAACCTTAAAAAGCATAGACAAAAGACCTCAGTACTAGACAGTACAAAGACTTGCCAATATGTTTCCATTGGGAGAAAATATTATATAGTTTTTTCTATCAAATTAAATCAACAAAGAAACAGATCTTGCTCCAAGATGATAGGAAAATATACAAGAGAAATACTAGCAACACACTTTTTATTTTTAGCTAAAATTTATTGAAAATAACAAAAATCATGCAGGCTGGTTCCAATTCTAATTTAATGATTCTCACTCATACTTTTGTAGTTTTCAATAAATTTCAACCAATGAGTAAAGTGTGTTTAGAAATAGTGTTAGAGTGTGTTCCTCCAGGCACTCCTCAATATACAATTAAACGAAAAGTGAGTGAAAACAAATTTTTTCACTTCATTGAATTTACTAGAGCTTCAAAGTTTAACTACAAAATATCAAAATGCATAACACAAATAATTCAGTAGAATAGTAGGTAAGAATCAGTTAAATACAACTAAAAATCAAGCAATCCTTACTTTTGTTAAATCCTTCTAGGCGTTGGTAGTATTTGTAGCTATTCAAAATCATGAACTCGTACAAATTAAAACCTCTAAAGAATCAAAAGGGACACAAGATTACACTTCGTTTGGTTGAGTTGAAATGTGGATGACTGAAATTGTCTACTTTAAGTCCATTGCAGTGATTTGGAAGGACTTTAAACAGTAGCTGAAATGGTTTATTTCAGTGGTCCCCACATACATGCATTTCCTTGCATCCTTGGCATGAAATGTACTGTCAGGTTTTTTTTTTTTTTTCTTGATTGAAAAATAAAAATGTATTTTTATAAGATAATTTTAAAAAATAAAATAACTTTATATTATGAAAAAATTAATATAATAAAAGGTTGAAAAAATTAAGCTAAAATTATTTTTTAATATTAAAAATATTTCTATATCATCTATTTATTTATTTCCACTCTCTTTTCCATTCATCCAAATAATTCATCATTTCTGCTCTATTTCCTATTTTTCGACATCCTTCCTATTTCATTCCTCTCTGTTTCACTTCTCATCCAAACAAAGCATAAATAAATATTGTATGGTGATATAACCATAGCAGTTGCTTTCACATCAACTGTCCTAGAACATTATTAAAAAACAAAAGCTTTGAGAAATTCATATAACATAGCCCATCTGTATTGGACAAAATCACAAACCATAGCAAATTCAAAATAGCATTGACAGTTCCATACACTTCTAGAAAATGCAGTATATTAACAATACTGAATATGATTCCATTATTTTCTAAATGTAACAACTCAAAATTGTCCTTCCACCTCAAGTTATCAGCTGTTCCATCTTCTCAACATTGCTCACTATGTTGGTTGTTTATTGTGTCCTTTATTATTTTAGCATCATTAGATGGGAGAATATGTTGAAGGCAAATAAAATAGACTAAAACTTAAAATACAGCCTTCATATATTCATATATTACTTAAAAACCAGCTCAAGAAAAGTATAGCCTTCCCATAATCAAAATATCTAAATAATGAACCAATGAAGAGCACACAGCACAAGCATTCCAGAGATCATATGGTTTGAGATCATCTAGAATAAACTGGAAAAATGACAAAGTTGGGAAGAATCTCATTACTAGCAAATAAATTATATAGAAAGCTAACCTTTGCCTTTTCTGCTCGCTTTATAGTCCCAACAGCATCATTTTTCAAAACCATTCCTCGAACCACTATACTGTTATGCAAGCCCCCTCCCAAGATCTTTGCAACACGAACATTGTCCACATTAAAGTTGGCAGGGTTTTTGGGACATACTTGAATGCACGCCTATATATTCAAAGCAAAGGTCAGAATATAAACAGTATTGTTGCTTCCAAATCATTTTATCATAGTAAAATGGGGTAATCAGGAAATACTCACATCGGCAACTAGCGAGCATATGGTATCTTCTTGACCAAATTGCTTGCTAGCAACAGCTGCTTTCATTCGAGAAACAACTTGCTCCTTTTCGCGGACATCCATATTTTCTGAACCTTTCTCAACCAGTTCATCCAATATTTGAATAGTCTGAATCATGACAAGAAATCAGAGGGAGAAAGAGGGGCAGTATGATATCAAATTTCAAAAGATGAATAGCAGTACAAGTTTTAAATATGAAACAGTAAGGCTCTCATCAGAGAACTCAAAACCTTATTGATTGCTTTAGTATATCCACTGATGATCTCACTAGGATGCAAACCCATCCTGATAAGTTCCTCCGCACCCTGGAGGAGCTCACCGGCAAACGAAATAGTTAAATTAGCTCCATCCCCAATTTCCTCTTGTTGAGCCTTCCCAGCCAAAACCAAAATCTTGGCAGCAGGATGCTGAACTTCAAGTTCACTCACAATAGTAGCAGCATCATTTGTGACAAAAAGCTTGTCCAAATGATTTATAACCATCTTATTCATACCTGAAACAGATCAAATAAAACACGTGAGAACAAGACCATTAACAAAGTAACAACATTCAAAATCTAACAAAACAAACGCTCTCTTCTAAAAGTATAATGCAGCAACAGATTCATACATGAACAAACATAAAAATACACAGAACCTAAATTAGCAAATTTTCTTAAAATGAAAAAAATAAAATAAACGCTTTTTCAAATCCGCACAAATTTTCAAGAACATTTATTCTCAGCACTGAAGTAAGTGAAAATGCTAGATCAACATAAGATGAAAATGAACGCATACCCACATTTTAAAAATCAAAACTTTTGAAATCTGAAGGGGCAATTTTCACTTGGTATGATTAAAAAAGAGTGAAAACGAAAAAGGGTAAGAGTGAATGTACCATTGGGACCAAGAGAAGTTCGGGTGATAGTGGAAAGTTGCTTGCAAGCGTCGATGTTCTTGAGAACCGCTTCATCGAGACCAGAAAGGTGTTTGTGACCTTCCTTGAGCATGGATTGAATCCCATAGGGTTGAATGTTGAAACCCATCTTCTTGCAATTTGAGAAAACCCTAACCCTAAAACCCTGGGAATGGCAACTTCTCACTGCAGCTTTTAAACTCTCTCCCTTCCCCGGCACGATCTTCGTATATTATAATGATGCAACAAAGTGAGAGGAGAAAAGCAGAAAATATTCTGGATTAAAAGAAAGAATAATAATAAAATAAGAATCTCATTAATCAGTATCTTAATTAAAAATTTAATAAATATTCTTTTAGTAAAAATGTATTAAAATATATTAATATATAAAATAAATATATTTTTATATCTTCTAATTAATTTTTTTAATTTCTCCTGTTTTTAATATTTTTCATAACATAATAATAACCACATGAAGAAAAAGAGAAAATCAAAGGTAATTTTGTTTTTCTTTTTAAATATATTTTCTGTTTTTAAAAATAAATACTTCTTTGTTAATTTAAATTTTAAAAAAAATTTATTTTGATTTTTAAAATTAAAAATCAAAATTATTTTTAGTGTTTTTCTGATTTTTTTATTTTATTCAAAATTAATAAAAATTTAACTAGAATTTTATTTTTAAATATATTTTCTGTTTTAAAAATTAAAAAAATAAATTATTATTTTTTAATTTAAATTTTAAACCAATTTTTAGTTTTAGTTTTTTCAAATTTAAAATCAGAATTATTTTAAGGTATTTTTGTTATGATTATTTTTTCAAAATTAATAAAATTTTAATTAAAAAGAATTTTAAAAACTAAACTATCAAATAATATTTTTTTTTTCAAACTAAATCAAACGAGACCTTAAATCTTCATAAAAATAAATTTTATAGAAAATAAAATTATTTTAAAATAATTATTTTAATAATTAATCATTGTTATAGTTAATTATATAAAATATATTTTATGCTCAAAATTTGTAGGTAAAAATCATTTTTAAAACAATTTATTATATTTGAATTATATAAAAAATATTTTAAAAAAAATTAATAAAAAAATAAAATTATTCTTAACAATAAATTTTATATTTTAAATAATTAATTATTATAGATAAAATGAGAAGTATGAAGATTGCATAAATGATAGTTATTTCTATTATGTTCACTTCATTGCTTATATTTAATCTTTTTTTTCTTCAACTATGAAGAATGCATATATGGTGGTCATTTCTTTTTCTCGAAGACTTTTTTAATTAAATTAATAATTTTTTTTTGTTTATCTTGTCTTCAATTTTTTAAGTTCAAGATCATGATTGTTTTAGATATAACTTTATCTTTGTCAGAAAAATATTAAATCAAGTTGAAGTTAAAGTAAAAATGATAAGCACCTATAAAACTAAGCAATAGATTCTTATTAGACAAAATAGAAGACAACCATACAAAACTATGGTTGCACGAATTATGCTTAGGTTATAAATTGTTTAGAGTTGTTGTCATATATTAGCAAGTAGTTAAACATTGAGAAATGTGTTACTGATTCAAAGCATTTTTTATAGTTAAGTTTATTATATTTTATTATATTTCTACCTTTATAAATAGTGAACATGATACAGGTCTCTTTATGTTAAAAAAATCAATTGAATTGTGAATTTTGATTTTATAACAAGCTTTTTTTCTCTAGTATCTATGTGAATTTTATTAGAGTTGGTTAGATCTACTATCAATTTTGTGAGTTTGTGAGAGAGTTGGTGTTAAAAAATTTAGAAAAAAAAATTTGAGTGAATAAAGAACAAGAATGTTCTCACTTTACTAATTTCTTTTTTGAATTTATTTGAGAGAGATATAAATAGCTACAAACTACAATATTGTTTCATCTAGCCTCAAATTATATGGGAAACTTGATTATAATTATGGCATTATTGATGTCCACCCATTTGAAAGCTCATAGTATTTGGAGTTCTACTAAACCTGACTTACAACAAGGCACTAAAGATGTTGCTCAAAAGAGGGACTAGTTGGCATTATCACAAATCCACCAAGGAGTTGATTATTCTATTTTTGGTAAAATAGCAAATATCAAAATAACTAAAGAAGCATGAGACATTTTGAAGTTGTCATATAAAGGAGGAAAGAAAGCTAAAAAAATTCAAACTATAATCCTAGAGAATATGAAAGATATGAGATGTCAAGCTCAAGTGTGGAGAATTTTTTTTCTCGTATTACATACCTCATCGATGAGATGGTGTATAAAGAAGGTATCTTTGAAAGCAAGGTGGTGAAAAAAATTCTACACACCATGCTAATGAAGTTTAACCATGTTGTAACCACAATAAAAGTTTCATAACACAAACACTATGATGGTTGCAGAGTTGAAAAGAAGCATTAAAAGCCATATAAGCAGAACTTTGAAAAAGATTGAAAAAATAAATGAAGACGCTTTGAAGAGTCAAGTGAATTTTACCAATATAGCATAATCCAACCGAAATGAAGATAGTAGAGATCGTGAAGGTATAAATATAAATTTCAGAAGTAGAGGACATGATAGTTTCACAATTTATGACTAACCTACCTTGGAAAAGCTGATGAAATAAATGATTATTAATAATTTATAGTTCCAACAGAGAATAGAGGCAACAATTCAAACCTTAGAAAATCAAATTGGCCAATTGGCTAGTTCATTGAATTAGATGCAGTCCTAAGGTTATGATGTAATGCTTCGAATTTTTATAATATTGTTGATTATTAATATAAGTGTTTATATGGATTTTCATGTATTTGTGTGTGTGTGTGTCTATATATATATATATATGTGTGTGTGTGTGTGATAAGGAGAATATATGTATATGCTTGGAACTAGTTTGAATTTTGGCTAAGTGTCTGGTGCAGGGTGTTCTTGCTGCAGCGAGGGATGTCTCGCTATAGCGAGAGGACCTTAGGAGGAAGGCATGAAACTGTTGCCTTCTCGCTGTAGCGACAAAGCGACAATTTGAGATGCATTTCTGGGTGCAGTCTTGCTGCAGCGAGAAAATCTCGCTGTAGCGAGATTCTGCAGAAATCAGGGTGTAGTTTCTCTTGAGTTTTTCGCTATAACAACAAGGGCGTTGCTAATGTGTCGATGTAGCGAGCATGTCGCAGTCTGAGGGGTATTTGAAGGATTTAAGGTTTGGGAAATCCATCCCTCCCTTTGAAATCCTTTTGATTCTCTCCACTCTCAACCTGTTCTTACCGATTAAATTGCCTCCAAAGCCGCTTGTAAGTTAGATTAAATGTTGAAATCAAGTTTGGGACGCTTGGAAGTAAGTTTATGAGTTAGGGTTTTCGATTTCTCATTCCTCTTTCTTGTATTCTCGGTTTCTCATGATGATTTCTATGTTTTAAGGATGAAAATTCGTGTAGGGAGCTATTCCATCGTTGTTTTCGTGGTGGGTCTTCATTCTTACGTATGGGAGAGTAAATCCCAAACCCTAACCCCTCTTAATAGTTTAAAATAAAGAACCTGTGACTATTTTGATAATTTTTTAAATGTAATTTGTAATAAAGTTGCAAATGAAACCATTTTCGAAGGAATACTATAATTTTAGTAAGCAAATGTTGTTTGAGGGTAGTTGAAATGATGCTAAACCTTAGGATAGATGACTATATTATTATTATTGAGAAATGTGAATGATAGATTGTACGACTGAGTTGAGTTTGGAGGTGTCCGACCTCTGGCACATTGTAGTTGTTGTGTGATGTGTGATTGGTGTGATGATTTTCTTTGTGTTGAATGAATATTTAATGATGATTGTGGTATGTTGCCACTGGCTGAACCAGGTTCTAATGAAGAGTGTTAAAGTATTGCGAGTGAATGAGTTGATGAATGATACTTGCATGATAAATGACATAATTATTGTATATGTTGTTTAATGATTGAAGTATGCGAAATGAGTGAACCTATGATATAATGCAAGTGTTTGACTGTTCTTAAAGAAAAGGTTTTCTGTGTGATGTAATCACGATGCCACAATGAGCGTGACTAAGTGCAGTGAGTGTACGTCTGAATGAATTGAATGAAATATTGAACAAGTGATCATAATACGGGAGTCAGACTGGACAAATGGATGTCATTGCAATACAGGTATTGTCGTATGACCAATGGAGGTACTCATAATAAATGTATTGTAATACACCAAGTTATGTGGGTATGACTCGCGTAATATGACATGTGCCCTGTAAAAAAGGTGTAGAAAAGACTAAGAAATGTGGTGGTGAGTTTAGACAGCTACAATGATACAACTGAGGTATAGAGTCCGAAGAAGCCTTGAAAAGTCTTGGAGAAATGAGGGTGGTGAATGCTAGTGTGGATAGTACACAACGATTTGCTGAAATTAAAAGCATTCACAGGCCACACACTTATTTCCGTGTTGTTGCAGCTAACCGGCGGCTATCTAAACTGTGAAGTCCTCAAGGGATCCCAGGGGCATTGAATGTGAAAGTGTGATGTGTATGAATTGGTATAGAAATTGTGCAGTCATAATATATTCATTATAACATGTCAGTTGGTGTTGATATGATATATGTGTTGTAATACATCGACAAGTGCAATTAGGACACATGTGTTATGACATATTGATTGACGTGGTATAATACATGTAGTATGGCGTGCAAATCAGTAGAAAGATGTATGATCTAAAGTCATGAGTATGATTGATTATTTGTTCTGTGTGTGCTTCCTGATAATGACAACTTGGATGATTTGAGTGTTATTGTTAATTTAATTTGTGTTGGGTGGTATTCTTAATACTGTATATGCATGGAAGTATTTCCTTATGTTAAATTAGAAATTTAGTAGGGCGGGAGATACTCACTCTTACTAATATTTTTTAGGTAATGGATGTGAAGAGATAAAGATGTTTGGCCCGTCCTAGGATCATAATCTGAGAGTGTTGGAAGGAAGACTGCTATGTAGGGATTAAAATAGTTTGAGAAATTGTATTGTTTTATTAAATTATAAATTGGGTTGACCAAAGTTTATAAATATAAATGACTTTAATGTTAGAATTTAGAATTTAATTCCTCGAGCAGATATTGATTATAAAGAATATTTTCAAAATGTTCTTGATGGAAATTTAAAATTTATATATATTCAAAATGAACCGAATGGTTTGTTAGAAGTAAAGTTGAGTTTTATTTGATTATTTGAAAGGTTTCAAAGTTTCACCCTTGAAAGTTTGACTT